ATGTTACTTTTGTTAAACAAAAAGAGGGGGGAGTGTAGCAAAATATGTAATATTTGTATAAAGTAATTCAGAATTGCAAAGTTGATTGGGACGTAGGTGATGGGCAGATTTTTCACTGTTAACCGCTCTGTATATCTGAATTTTGAGCCACATTTAAATCAATTCAATCCAAGAAAAGTTTACCGAGCTCTACTGTGTACCAAGAACTGCTCTAGAAAACTGGAGGTTCAACCGTGAACAAAACTGACATAGTCCATTACATCTATCAGCTCCTATTCCAGAGAAGGTAGAGTGCTAGAGAGAAAACAGAGCCAACGTTGAGGGAGAGAATATAGTAATGTGTGATTTTGAGAAGGTGACTTTTGAAAGAAGGCTTGAAGGAGATGGGACCTGAGCCATGCAGGTATCTGAGGAAAGAGAGGTCCAAGTAAAGGTTAACAGCCAGTTTAAAGGCCCTGAAGTAGGATCTTTCTGACTTGTTATTGCAGGAATAGTAAGGAGGTCCATGTGGCAGGGGAGAGTGATAGGAGATGAGGGTGGAGAGGTTGTGTGCAGGGGATGGAGAGGAAGAATGGGTAGGGCCTTTAGACGATTGTGAAGACTTCGACTTTTACTCTGAGAGAGATGGGAGCCACAGGGGGATTTCAGCAAAGGAGAGCCCCTATCTGATATAACATTTTAACAGGATTGTTCTCACAGCTGGATGGAGAAGACAGGGCAGGAGTGGGGCAGAAGGGGAGAAAACTGTTGTGATCATCAAATTATAGGAGATGATGCGGTGGAGGGGGTGAGAGAGTGAGGAGATGCTGAGGACTGTGAGTGGGGCCTTCTCATTTCCCCTGTCAGAGGACTCACCCCTTTGGGCCTGAGCACCTGGAGGGGTGGAGTTGTTAACTGGGATGGGGTGGGGAAGGCTGTGGGCAGAGTAGGTAGGTGGAGGGGCAGAGCAGAAGTGCATCGTGGAAACGGTGAGTGTGTGCCTCCCCCTTAGAATGCTGCATGTGGATGCTGCCCAGTGAGTTGGATGTGGGAGCCAGGCATCCTAGGAAGAGCTGGGCTGGGGCTTTGTACTGTGGAGCAGGGAGAAGGTCTTTTAAGCAAGAAAGTGAAAGAGATCACAAGGAAGTGAGTATAGACAGAAGTCCAAGGGTTGAGCAAGGGCAGGGAGAGGAGGAGGAAACCACCGCGGTGGCCAAGAAGTGGGTAGGAGGCCATGGAGGTGGGAGGAGAGCCAGGGAGTACAGCATCCCAGAAGGCGCTGAAAAAGGGTGTCTGGAAGGGGGAAGCATCAGGGGAGAGGGGAGGTAAGCCCTGAGAAGGGGCCTGCTTTCACCTTTGGGTTAGGATCGCTGTGGTGACCTTGACAAGAGCAGTTTCTGAGGAGGTTGGGGAAGAAAATCTGCCCCAAGTGCCCTCCAGAGGGAGTGAGGTGAGAGAGGGTGTGAGCAAATACAATGGCAGTTCTGGGCGGTGGGTAGGGGGACTGTAGAAACGAGCTAGAGAAACAAAGGATTGGGTTTTGGAGGGGTATAACACCGAATAAAGTGGGGGAATTGACTGTAACTGTATTACTTGCTTAAAAAAACAAAACAAAAATAAAGAATAAACGGGGAGGCGGGGGGACACAATCGCGGGAGAGGTAGCTACAAAAGTGGTTACAAGGCCACGCTTGGGGGTCGGGGACAAGAGTCAGGTTCCAGACTCTAAATTTAGCTCAGCACAGGGCCGGACAAACCTGAGCTCCGGGAACCTGACACTGGTCCGGCGCCAGGCCCTCGGGCTGTGCTGGCTGGGCCTCGGGCGGCAACTGGGAGTGGCGCCCAGATGGGCGTGTGCTTCCACCTGTCCCGGCCCGTTTCCCAAGGCTGACTGGGTCAGGCTGGGGCGGCCTAGACAGGCTCGCGTTAGGGCTGAGAGAAGGGAGAGACGGAGAGAGGGCGCCGCGGGACCCAGGAGGCCGCGGGCCAAGGCGGGATATTGAGGGGCCCAGAACTGGAGCGCAGAGCACTGGCCTGCACTGAGATCCCCTCGCCCTGTGCTACCCGGTCAGCTATCAAAGCGCACCCTCCCCTCACGTTTCCCATCCTGGCGCACCCTCAGCTCAAGTCTCTGCCAGCAGGCGTCAGCCCCGCCCTTCTTCCTCCCGTGGGCGCTCGGAGGCCCGCCCCGGCCGCTACGCTGGGAGAGGCGTACCGTAGGGTAGGGTAGCCTCTCCCGCGCCGCCCGACTTGGGTGACCTGAGGGTGCGCATGGCGGCGGTGGGGCCGTGGACTGGCCCGGGCGCTGGGGCCGAGGCGCTGGCGCTGGCGGTAGAGCTGCAGGGCGAGGTGACCTGCTCCATCTGCCTGGAGCTCTTCCGGGAGCCGGTGTCCGTCGAGTGCGGCCACAGCTTCTGCCGCGCCTGTATCGCGCGCTGCTGGGAGCGCTCGGGCTCCGGGGCCACCGCCGCGTCCCACAAGTTGTCCTGCTCGCTGCCCTGCCCGCAGTGTCGCGAGCCCGCGCGCCCGGGCCAGCTGCGGCCCAACCGGCAGCTGGCCGCGGTGGCCACGCTGCTGCGGCGCTTCAGCCTGACAGCGGGCGCGCAGGGGGAACGCGGGCCTCCGAAGGCGGGGGCGGCCGGGTGCGCGCAGCACCGCGAGCCGCTCAAGCTCTACTGTCAGGACGATGGACGTGCCATTTGCGTGGTGTGCGACCGCGCCCGCGAGCACCGCGCTCACGCCGTGTTACCCCTGGACGAGGCGGTGCAGGAGGCCAAGGTGAGCGCCGTCCCCACCCCTACGCGTCCCCGGGACCCCCAGTCCCCGTTCTGCGTTCCCGCGCAGGCAGTAAGGCCCAGGTGAGCCCCTGCTTCTTTTCCCTTATCTCATGCTGCGCAGCATTGGCTTCGGGACTGAGCGTGGCTCTCCCTCTGTCACCCCCGACACCACCAATACCACCTTCCCAAACCCCTCGCGTTTCCCTTTGGGCCCCTACTGGGCCGCCTGCGTGATGCCCCACAGATTTGGAGATTTTCTTTCTGGCGGTACCTGGCTTTGAGCGGTTTCTCCGTCACACCCACACATTCGCTACCCCCACTCTTCAGCCCTTTCCCTGGACATAGCTCTGTTCGGTGTTCTCACCTTCTGTGGCCGAGTGGGACGACCTTCCCAAGAGGTCGGGGTAAGGGGGTGGGTGGCTCCAGGGCTGAGTAGAGAGCCAAGAGCCATCTGGGATTCTGGCACCTCCCATTCCTGCCAACTTGCTAGGGTGTGCGCGGATGCCTCTGGCACAGTCCCCAGTCTTTCTTTGCTCTTACCCTGCTCCAGCTCTCCCACCCAGAGGGCTTTCTGATGGTGGTGAGGAGAGCAGAAGAGAGGACTAGGCAGGTTGGGCTGCTGGGGGGCTTGATGTCAGCCTGGATGGTGCACAGATGGTCTTGAGGACGGGAGGCCCTGAGGCCTTTGGAGTCACCCAGCAGCTGTCCTGTACCCTTATGTGCAGCCTGTGCAGGCTGTAGCCATCCCGACGTCCAGAGGTGGCTTCAACGCTGCCGCCTCTTCCTCAATGAACAGGGCCTTCCCTTTCTCCTGGGTGGCTTCAGGAAGGCACAAGTGGGAGTTGCCAGAATCCTCTCCCCACAGTGTCCTCCTTCTCACTCTCCCGCAGGAGCTCCTGGAGTCCAGGCTGAAGGTCTTGAAGAAGGATCTGGAGGACTATGAGGCATTTCGTTCCACCGAAGAGAAGGAGAGCAAGGAGCTCCTGGTGAGCATGGCAACCCCCAGGTTGGCTCCCCTGGGTGACAGCAGAGGGCCACCCACCACTCTGGCTAGGTGTGTGTGGCTTTGGAGTGTGTGCCTGGGGAACAGCAGAGGTGGAGTTTAGAAATATAATGAGATGCATATTATATAGGGTGACCGTGTAATTTATTATATAACCAGAACTTTTGAGAGTGAAAGGGAGGGCTAAAATAATTATTTTAGAACAGCTGGCTTGAAGTGGAACTGTCCAGGCGAATCAGGATGTATAGTCCCCCTAATATTACATAACACCCCAGTTAGGGTCTGTGGAGCATCTTGTAATGGAACACATGAATATTTCTATAGAGAAACATATGAATATTTATACTAAGTGGGAGCCTTCTGTCAGTCTATGGTATATTTTACCACCAAAAGAGTTATGAAAAAAACTTTCATTTTTAGAGTTTTTTCGATTTTGAAATCGAGGCTAGGGGAGCGGGGTTGGGGGGATGGGGGAGGGGATGGCAGAGCTGCTCCCCACCCAGCAGAGGGCAGGAGGTTCCGGGACTTGGGTTTTCAGCAGCCGATTGTGCTAGCACCCCCCCTGCCCAGCGCTTGGGGTGGTATTTTGTCTTCCTTGAAGTGGAACAGGAAAGTGAAATGGGGTTCATTTTGGTTAAGGTGGGCAAATGTGGGTCACTGTCATTTTCTATCTCGAAAATTCAGTTCCTAGCTCAAAAACTAGGGGTTAAGAGAATGAAAGGATCCACTAAGGCCTGTTAGGGCAGGGCTCTTAAGTCCTAGAGTTGGAAAATGGAGGGAGAGCAACCTGAGGGTCGCCACCCCCCTTAAGGGAAGGAGGTGTGGGGTGAAGGGGAGGACCCTGTGTACAGGTGCCCCAGGGTCCTTTCCTGACCCTGAACTGCACCTGGTACACCTGCATCCCATGCACATCTCAGGCATTCTCTTCTGAACACTCACTTCCCTCCACAAGGAAGGGCTCACCCCTCACCTCTCCAGATCTCCACCCTGCTCTGTTGGAAAAAAAGAGTAAGCATGTGGGGCTTCCCTGGTGGCGCAGTGGTTGAGAGTCCGACTGCCGATGCAAGGGACGTGGGTTCGTGCCCCAGTCCGGGAGGATCCCACATCCCACATCCCACATGCCGCGGAGCGGCTGGGCCCGTGAGCCATGGCCGCTGAGCCTGCGCGTCCGGAGCCTGTGCTCCACAATGGGAGAGGCCACAACAGTGAGAGGCCCGCGTACCAAAAAAAAAAAAAAAGAGTAAGCATGTGGCTCTTCGGCCATTGCTGTACATCCATGATCGAGAGGGCCTTCTCCAGCTTGGGCAGCTTCATGGTCTCTGACCCCACACCCCATGACATTGCTTAGCACTTTCTACTCTGTCCTACCCCCACCCAGCCAACCCCCCTGTGGCCCACACATCCTTTATGATTACAAAATACCTGCTTAATGAGACAACCATTGCTGCTATGAGAACAAGGAGAAGGAATATTTTTATTTGAAAATGCTCTTACCATTTAGAGGAGTAGTTCTCAACTGGTGGCAATTTTGGGCCCCAGGGGACATTTGGCAATGTCTGGAGATATTTTTGGTTGTCAGCACTGGGGCAGGGGTGCTACTGGTGTTTACTGGTAGAGACCAGGGTACTGCTTAAACATCCTGCAATGCATAGGACAGCCCTCCACCACAAATAATTATCTTGCCCCAAATGTCAATAGCGCCGAGGTTGGAAACCCTGATTTAGAGTGTTTTGGTGAATATTGTCCCACTTGTGTTATTTCCTTGGGAGACCGTATGCTATAATTGCAAGAAGCTTGGACTCTGGGGTCAGACTCCCTGGATTAGAATCCTGACTTCCCACTTCCTGGTAATGCACCTCTCTGTCTTGGTCTTCTCATTTGTAAATCAGGATGAGAGTGTACCCACGTCACTGGGTGGTTGTCAGCATTGAGGGAGTTAACGCCTGTAAAGTTCCCTGTGCTGTTGCTGCCTGCTTGCCCAAATCCTGAAGACTGGGGAGCATCGGACTGAACCCAGGTCTCCTAACTTCAGAACCCACTTATAGTCTCCTCTTCCAGCCACCCCCTCCCCGCCTAGAATTTTCAGGGAAGAGGAACTTTGACATTTGAGCTTGTCCTGGAGGGATGGAATCCTTCTCACTGGCCACGAGAGGCCTCACTTGTTATATCATGCAGAGTCCCTCCCAGGTGTTCACGTAAAGACTCAAGAGGGTCAGGAGCGAGAGTCTGTGTCTGAAATCACAGGGGTGAAAATCCTGTGGATAGTGGTCATGGAAAGAATAGGATAGAAAGCTTGCACACAGCATACTCTTACTTAGGTCGTTGTGGGTGTGCTGTTACCTCTGATCACTGGCATTGATTTTCCTTCCTTCTTTCTACTTCCCTGCATTTCCAGGGTTTATATTATGAACTTGTGTTGCTTTTACGATTGCTAAACAGAAAAGGTGCCCTTTAAAATGAAGTAAAGTGAAGAGTGAAAGTTGGAGGGGTGACAAATGCTAAAGTACAAAATTCAAATGAGTAAAACTTAAAGATCTTATTGGCTTTATTCAGTGGTTCATAAATCAGCCAACATCCCATCTTGCAGAAAGAAAGAAGATCTGAAGAGCTATACAAGGCGAGAGACTTTACAGGCAGAGGAAGCAGGAACGAGGAAGTTGTACTAGGCAAAAAAGTGGGTTGGCCCCAGAGGCTCATGAGTAGAGGAGTTGTTTTGACGGTTAAGAAGGCTTTTCATTGGCCCAACAGCACGGGCTCCCACTCACCAGGAATGATCTAGCAGCCGCTGCCCAGTGTTCAGCCTGGCAGCAACAGAACCACTGCAGAGGCCCGATGCAACATCATCCTTGAAGGAAACCAGTCACTTGGTAGCAGATGGATTGCACTGGACCTCTTCCACCCTGGGAGGGACAGCATTTTATCTTGGCTGGAACTGACACATTTCTGAGTAAGAGTTGTCTTTTCTGCCTGCAGAGCCCAAGCCAGCACTACCAAGAACTTATAGACTGTTTGATTCATCAACATGATTTATGATCCCAAAGTAGTTTGGGTGTCTGATTAGAGAGGGAATTTAAACATAAGAGGTGCTGTGAAGGTAGAAGTATTTTAAATTTATTTCCAATCTTGCAGTTTTGGTATCCTATTAGTACATGTTTTTAATGCTGTGAATGTGCTTCTTTAAATGTGAGACCTGCCATCATCTCTCCATGTAGATACTTGCGTCACCCTTGCAGCCTAACAATGAATTAGGGTACTTTGTTGGCCTGCTTGTCTGACAGCCAGTGACATCAATGATTTACTTTAAGTTTCTATGTCTTAAAATGAGTTTTCAGCAGCAGCCCCCACTCCACCCCCCACTTCCACAAAGCCACACCTTAAAGTTGCCTTATAAATCATATATTAAATCATTGCTGAAAATGTTGGACTAAGCCGAAGTGAGAAAAAGTTATACGGCATTATGTTTGAGATCTCAGTGTGTGCTATCAAAGATGTTTTCCAACTCTACAGTAACTTGAAACCATCATGTGTTTGGATGCTCTAATTTCAGCAGAATAAAGATCATAAATTTGGTCACACACACAAAAAAGTGGGTTGGCTATTGCAAAGTTGCTTTCCCTGTAGGGGATGGCAGGGGTTTATCAGGCAGATTACTGAACAAATACTGATCAGGCCGTTCCTTATAGGCTGGTTTAAGATAACATTTGTGGGAGAGCTGAAACTGTCATTAGGTCTCAGTTTGGTGATGTGGGGCTTAACATAAGCGACTCCATTTGGGGCCTGTTGTCTTGCTTTGAACACAAAATAAATGTGTTTGGGGACCTCAGTTTAATCCTTACAGTGACTGCAGGAGGCACTATTTTATCCCTCCCACTTTTCAAATAAGGAAACTGCAGGCCTGGGGGTTTCTGGGGTGAGTCTGAAGTTGCCCTAGGTTGGTGGGAGAGCCCAGGTCTAAAGAGACACATGGGCGCAACTGTGACAGGGAAAGGGAAGGCACGTGTTGAGGCTGCTGCGTGCTCGGAATTGGGACATTTAAACTAGAGCGTGTGCACGGTGGGCATGCACGCGTGAGTCTCTGACCCCTGAGCAGTGAGTGGGATGCACCCCTGCCCTGTGGGATGGCTCAGAGGCTTCTATCCAAATGCTGTGTCTCAGATGCCCACATCCCTTTGCCCTCTTCAACTTCACCTCTCCTGGGACAGAAGCAGATGGCAGCCGAGCGAGAGAAGGTTGGGGCGGAGTTCCAGGCTCTGCGGGCCTTCCTGGTGGAACAGGAGGGTCGGCTCCTGGGCCGCCTGGAGGAGCTGTCCCGGGAGGTGACACAGAAGCAGAATGAGAACCTGGCCCAGCTTGGGGGTGAGATTGCCCAGCTCTCCAAGCTCAGCAGCGAGATCCAGGAGACAACTTGCAAGCCTGATCTTGACTTTCTCCAGGTGAGCCTGGCTTGGCCAGTGTATGAGTCATTTATCCTAAGGCAGGAGGCATGAATTTATCCCTCCCACTTTTCAAATGAGGAAACAAGAATGGCGGCGAGAACAGAACCAGATCCTATGAGTTTAGTAGAATCACACATCTGGAGCCAAAGTGGACTAGAGAGAGGAGCGCTGATTTTCCTGGGGTTAGAGGTCTAAAGGGATGTGATAAAAACTTTCTTGACCATGATCCACAATAATATCTCTTACAATGTATTGTATTATATACGTTGTGACAAAAGTCTCAGAAAATGACACTTACCCGTACTACATGTGATGCACTTCGATGTTTTTTATTGTCTTATTTCCTTCTAAAATAAATAGTCACAATCCATGAAATAAACTTCACAAGTCACAGATGGATCAAGAATGGTCATTTAAGTGAATTCCCTGGACTCTGTACTTCCACTGCCGGGGGCCTGGGTTCAATCCATGGTCAGGTAACTAAGATACCACAAAGCCATGAGGCCAAAACAAAACAAAACAAAACAAAAAAGGTCATTTAAAAGGCACTAATCTGAGTGATGTCCAGTTGTTGCATAAGAGCTGTCACTTGTCTTGGGTGATGTTGAAAGCAGAGGCAACATTGGGTCCTAGCACTTGGCTCCAGTGATGATGCTGTAATAAATGGGAGCATCGGGAAGCTCTTGCCACCTGGGGCCCATGCAGGAGGTAGGGGGTGATACACCTGCTTATTGCTTATTCCCCTGGAAGGAGGGAAGGGGCCAGTTTTATTTTCTCAAAGGTGAATGCTGATTTGGTTTTCTCTCATTGTTCTTTCCAGGAATTCAAAAACACACTAAGCAGGTGAGTGGACCTAACAATACCTTGGGCCTCTCTAAGCTGGCTCTTCTTTTCCACTTAGCTTCCTGTCTTCATTCCCCACCCCTGACCTCTCACCTCCCGATGCCCTCACTGCCTTACCTGGGTACCTTCTGAGGCAAACATCTACTGCCTGCCCATGGGTATTCGGCACGGGGTCAGGCTCTCCTTTTCACCTCTCCCCACCCAGAGGACCTCACCATCCTAATTGTCAAATAGCCCAGTGGGAGTGGGACAGTGTTAGTGGGCCTTCCTCAGGGTCCTTGTCCTGCAGGTGCAGCAATGTGCCTGCCCCCAAGCCAACCACAGTCTCTTCTGAGATGAAGAATAAAGTCTGGAATGTTTCTCTCAAGACCTTTGTCTTAAAGGGGCTGCTCAAGAAGTTCAGAGGTAGGGACTTGTGTGTGGGGCTGGGCCCTGCAGTCCTGGTGGTGACGGTGTGTTTCTGATGGTTTGGGGTCCTGAAGATGTGCCTTTCCAAAAGCTGTATGATAAAACAGGAACTAGGGTGTGTCAAGGCCAGACTGGTGCGGGGAGGCGGTGGTGGCTAATTTATTTAGAACCCCCGCCCCTACCCCAGGGCATGAAGCTTCCCCTGGGGACAGATGGAGTAGAGGGGCACTGGGGGCAGAAAGAAGGATGAAGAGGGAGAGCTCAGCTCAGAATGGCTCCAGACAAAAGAGGGGGAAGTGGGAGAGCTAGAGCTAGAATACAGCCCCCTCCCCACCCCCATGATCGGCCCAGCACTTGCCCATCAACTCTAGGGTATCTGGGGAGTGAGTGAACCCCCAGATATTTAACATTTACAGTGGGGCTGTCAGTGTCAAGAGGTGGTGTCACCGTTGTTGCCAAATAGAAATTTCCCATGTCATTCACACACAACCTGCTTTGTTTCTCCTCTTCAGAGGATCTTCAGGGAGAACTGGAGAAAGAGGAGAAAGGTATGATGGCTGTTTTAACAGTAAGTGCCCGTCATTTGGCCATGCAGAGATCCAGTGACTGTCTCTCGGGGCTCTGTGCATGGTTGGTTCCTTCTGCCCATCCACCTCAGCAACTTTGCCATCGACTGCCCTTTCTTCCTCATCCTCACAAGTCTGATTCCTTCAGGCCACCGTGGGGCCCATAGGCCTATAAGTTGTTCCAGAGCAGGAGTGTCCTGAACCTTGAGATACTCAGATCAGGGAGTGCTTGTCGGTCACCTGGACAAGCCTCTCTTCCCTGTTCCTGCTCCCAGAGATGGAGACCTCTCCTGGGGACAGGGATTGTGTGCAGGGGTCGGGGGAAGCAGGGGGAGACTGAAGACTGGAAGGGAGGTGGTGATCACTCCTGCAGGGCTCTGGGGTGAGTGGGATCTAACCCCAAGGGGAAGGGAAGTGGGGAGGGGAGGACACATATTCCTGATGCTGATGTGACTGAGCTAAATCAGATCTTACTCGGGAAGAATCTAAACCAACCGAGTCAGACTATGTCCTCTGCTCAGAACCCTGTGACAGCCCTGCCTCTCTCACTCAGTAAGGGCTGGAGTTCTTGCAGTGGTCTTGAAGGCCCTACGGGATCTGGAGCCTCACTGCACACTCTTCCCCTGGTTCACTCCGTGCAGCCACACACAGTCCTTGCTGCTCCTGGAAGGCACCAAGCACACAGCTGCTTAAGGGCCTTTGCACTGCACCGGCTATGCCAGGGCCTGGAACACCCTCCCCCCAGACAGCTGCATATCTGACTTCCTATCTCCTTGATGTCTGTGCTCAAATGCACCTTTTCAGTAAGGCCTTCCCTGGCCCCTCTAGTTGAAATTACAGCCTGCTCTCCTGATCCCTCTATCATGTATTGTCTCTCCTCCTTCTCCTCACAGAAAGGAAGCTTCAGGAGGGCAGGGATACTCCACTGTGGGATTCTCAGGGCCTAGAACAGACCTGGAACATAGTAGCACTTGCAGCAAGTGTGCATATTTTAACTTTTTATTATGGAAAATTTCAAACATACACTAAAGTAGAGAGAAGAGCATGACGAGTATTATGTACTCACCATTCGCCTCCATCAATTATTGACTCGTGGCTAGTATTTTTCCTAAACACCCCTACCCACTTCTTCCCACTGGATTATTTCGCAGCAAACCACAGATAGCTCTCATTTCCGTAAATATCTCAGTATGTTGTCTCTAAAGAGATAGACTTTAAAAAAAACATAAACACAAAACCATTAAAAAAGCAAACACAAAACCAACATCATAACTAAAAAATTAATGATTCTTTCCAGTATCTAGTGTCCGAAATCCCCCACTTGTCTATTTCTTAATTTTATTTTTTCAATTGAAGTATAATTCATTTACAATGTTTTGCCAATCTCTGCTGTACGGCCCCAATTTTCTTTTTTTTTCTCTTTTGCGCTGCCTTGGGTCTTCATTGCTGCACGCGGGCTTTTCTCTAGGTGGGTGAGCGGGGTCTACCCGATGCGGTGCACGGGCTTCTCATTGTGGTGGCTTCGCGGGCTTCAGAAGTTGTGGCTCGCGGGCTCCAGAGTGCAGGCTCAGTCGTTGTGGCGCAGGGGTTTACTTGCTCCACCTGTGGGATCTTCCGGACCCAGGGCTGCGAACCTGTGTAGCCTGCAGTGGCAGGCAGAGTCTTAACCACTGCGCCAGTAGGGAAGGCCACCCCACGGTCTTTTAAATTGGATTTGTCAATGTGTTTGAATTGAGATCCAAATCAGGTCCATAAATTGCCTTTCTGTGATTTCAACACCTACTTAACGAGGGGGCGGTGGGAGTGGGGCGATGGGAGCCGTGCAAGGACGCTGCATGGGACGTCTCTCCCTGTCTTCCCCCCTCCCCATACCCCGCAGTGGAGCTGACCTTGGACCCCGACACGGCCAACCCCCGCCTCATCCTCTCTCTGGATCTTAAGAGCGTGCGCCTTGGACAGCGGCCCCAGGACCTGCCCAGCCACCCGCGCCGCTTCGACACCAACATGCGAGTTCTGGCATCCTGCGGTTTCTCCTCCGGGAGGCACCACTGGGAGGTGGAAGTGGGCTCCAAGGATGGCTGGGCCTTCGGCGTGGCACGTGAGAGCGTGCGCCGCAAGGGCCTCACGCCCTTCACCCCCGAAGAGGGCGTCTGGGCGCTGCAGCTCAACAGCGGGCAGTACTGGGCGGTGACCAGCCCTGAAAGGACGCCCCTCAGCTGTGGGCACCTGTCCCGCGTGCGGGTCGCCCTGGACCTGGAGGTGGGGGCCGTGTCCTTCTATGCTGCGGAGGACATGCACCACATCTACACCTTCCGTGTCAACTTCCAAGAGCGCGTGTTCCCCCTTTTCTCTGTCTGCTCCACTGGTACCTACTTGCGAATCTGGCCTTGAGGGGCATTGCTCGGCCTCCCTGAGGGGGTCAGTCGGTCATGGGAAGGCATGTTGCCCTCGGATGGAGCCTCCTGGTCACTCTGGGTATGCCCTCCAGACTCTTGTCCCAGGCTACCTTAGAGGGGCTTCTGCAGACTACAGCATCAAAGACATGAGAATGGGCTGTTGGGGAAAAGGGCTCTGAGGTCAGTTGAGCAGGGGAAGAGATGCTTTGGACCCTCCTGGCATGTCTCCTGCCTGTTGTCCACGTGTGGATTTGGCCTGAGCTGTGAGGAGGTGGAGGTGGATGAGGACAGGAGCCCAGCTCCACCAGAGGTGCTTCCTATCACTGCCCCAACTCAGCAGGGCTTCTGGTTCCGTGGAACAAAACCAAGCTCTGGTCCTTTGCCATCCTCAGTTGCAAGGGGGGCAGGTTCTTGCCAGGCCAATCAGGTTCATGATCCCTTCTGCTCTGCCTTCCTGTCAGCTGCCAGCTCTGCCTTCAGAGACCTGAATCTAGCTGGCCTGACGAAGTTGTCTACTCAGGGAGGATCACTGTACTTCCAGCTCAGTGGAGAGTTTGGGCCGGAACTGGTAGGAGACCCTTGATCTGTACATGAGGACAAAGCCCAGGGTAACAGCATATAGGCATAGCTGCCGTCCAGTGTGGCTTAGCCTGATGACAGAGTGTATGTACAACACATCCTTGGCCACAGTGACTGCTCCGTGTACTCAAGTTTGCCTAAACCCTTTTCAAGTGCCAAAGTACAGTCTCCCTTGGGTAAGGAGACCAAAGATTCTGGAATTTTGAAACTCAAGGCGGCACGTATAATTTTACAGAAGCAACTAACACCAGCATGGAAATGCACAGAGCACAGGCATGCCCCTGACAGACACTTCCTGGAGCTTCCCAAATGTATGCCAACAGCAGAAGACCCTGGTGCCACGGCCTGCTCAGCCTGTACCCTGGAGGGTGTTATTCCCTTGGCTAATGGTTCCCCAGCTTCTCCATGGCTGGGCTTCTGGGAGAGTGGAGGTAGGCTGTTCCCTGCTTAGTGTGCTCCAGGAAAGGGGCATGGGGAGATGGAAATACAGACTGTGAGCTCATTTCTAGGGTGTCTTGGCTCATTCTTAACTCCCCCAGTCTGAATGCAAGAGCACAGTTACGAGCAAAGGTTTCTGCCAGACTAGGTGAGCATGTGTGTTTATCTGTGTGAGGAACGTTTGCATGTGTGTTTATATCTCAGATCTCAGGAGCGGGAGGCGGGGCCATATGGATTTTGGAGAGGGTGTTTATGAGCATGCGTATAGGGTTTAGGTGCAAACAGACATAGGTCAGTATGGTCACACCCTATTTTTGATTTGTAGTTGTAAAATATTAGCCACCCCATATTTAGGTGAAAGCCAAAGGTTTCCTTCCCCCACTACCTAGCTGCCCAGCTAGATGAAATCCAGTCTCAGACCTAATTCTGTCCTGCACACATTGTTTATAGATAGACGTGTTGGCATGCAGGGGCAGTGACCATCAAACAGTCTGATCTGCAAGCATCTTGGAGTTTCCATGCTCTGTCCCTGAGATACTTCAAGCACACTTTGCATACAAGGGACGGTAAGAGAGATGTTCTTGTCGGGGCAGGCATGACACTTTTCTAGAAGCAATCTAGAGATATAGCACTAGGCAGTCAGAATCCAGTGTCCTATGGGCTGGGGACAGGACCATTGAAGAGTCCAGCCTATAGCAGCATCCCAGAGGGTGAACCCTGTGTGGTGTTCATACATGGAGAGTAGCTCTAGAACACTGTAGCTAATCAGTGTATTTGAATACCACTGATTTCCACAAGGAAAATCCATTTCTAACATTCACTTATTAATTAAATTGCCTAATGCTATCATCAAGCCTTAATGTTATCCAGGCTTGTATGGCTTTTGGATTGAGTAGCACAATTACCCTTTATATCATCTAACAACTGTGCTGAAGTATTGCAACACATTACAGGTCACGGAAGGTAGGGTGACTAGGTTCAGGTCTGGGCACTGCAGGGGTGGCTGTGTTTATATTTTCAGCTTTTGTGTTTGTGAATGTGATTGTGTGTCTATCAGAGTTTGCAGAATAACAATGTAGATATATACATATTCGAAGAGATGTAACAACAGTTACATAACAATTACACGTGGACAGTACGACAGATGTTCTCTCTTGGTCACTAGGGTGGTGCAGTGACTTAGGATGTCACAAGGCTGGTGTGAGAGTATGCCTGTGTGTGTGCATTTTCCTCTCCCATCCTTTGACCATCATATGATCTCTGAGATGTCTGGGCCTCTGAGAGCAATGACTGGCCTAACTTGGGTTCCTTCTGACTCCATCCATTCGTTGGTCCTAGATCCCTGTGAGCTGCTGAGACATGAAAACCCACATCCTTGAAACCAGACCCTCACACCACTCCTCAGCATCCAGACAAGAGGGCACCTAGGGACCTTCCTCTGGCCTGGCCACCCAGTGACCTAAGTCATCTGGCCTTGCAGGGACCAAAGGGTGGGTTGGGCCATCAGACCAAGTTCCACCAACTACAGCCGCAGTTCTGACCATTTCTGGGCTAGGGCTCCTGTCCCTCACCTGGGCTCTCAATCTCTTCCCTTTGTCCCGTGGGCCCTTTGGGGGGCCCCGATGGAACCAGCTCCCCCAAAATTCAAGACGGGCCCCTAAGGATTTCCTTTTCCTAATTTGCCTTAAGTTGCAGTAGGGGCTAGGGACCTCCTGTCCCGTTCCAGTCCTTCACATCGACCTTTTGATTTTCCCACCTTTCTCTACCAATCTTTCCCTCCTGATCACCCACCCAGACCAGACCTGGATTCCTCTCAGGACAGGCATACTGACACCCTTTCTCTAGCCCTCCTCTCAGAGCCCCGACCTCGGACCCCTACTGTCATAGGACCTCTATCCTCAGCAAGTTTTCGCCCCAGACCCCAAAGCCGGGCGGAAGACCCCGGGCCCTCCTCGTATTCAGCCCATTGGTGGCCCCGCCCCCTCCCGCAGCGCGCCCCGCCCTCACCAGATCTCTCACAGCTTCCGCTCCCCAGCGGGCGCAACTCTCCTCCTCTCTCCTCTGGGCTCTCTCCCAGGATTTGCAGCTCGGCCCGCGACACTGACACTGACGCCGCAGCTGAGGGGGCGGCAGCCGGACGGGGCGCTCACTGGCCGAGGGACGTGGGCCCCGCCTGTCGTCAGTTAACTCCTGCATGTTGGTGTCTGCGGCTGCGCAGTGATCAGAGCGGTGTCATGTACTCGTGCGCAGAAAGGCGACTCGCAGTTGGCTCCATAGCTCAGGGGTTAGAGCACTGGTCTTGTAAACCAGGGGTCGCGAGTTCAAATCTCGCTGGGGCCTACTTCGATATTTTTCCATCCCTCTCTTCTGAAGAGCTGAAAATGCACACCCCAACACGAATTTCCGCCATTATGTGTTTTTGCCTCTCAAGTGCCCCTTAAATGCTTGCCACCCTTTGGTCCCTCCTTCCCGTCTACTCTCGCGAAGATCCAGACCCACTGTGTCCCTGGCTTTGAGATCACAGGTTCTGCTGGCCCCGCGCGCCTTCTCCCCCGCGACCCCTCTCTCGCTTCCTTATGCGCGCCCTCTCCGCGAGTTCACGGCGGGTCTTTCCGTTCCCCTTCTGTCGCTCCACTCGGCCAGGGGCTTGCCCTGGTCTCTAATTCTTTCTGCGTTGCTTGGGGGATCACCTGTGAAAGCCCTCCCGCCCCCGCCCCCTGGGAATCTACTATTTTAGTCGAGAGTGGAGCGATGTTTAAGACCCCGCGTAGCTTGCCATTGGCCCCCTCAGGGACTTCTTTAATGAGGTGGCCTTCCAGTAGGGCAGTCACATAGGGGTTGAAGAATCCCGGGAGTCCGGGACGCGCAAGTGCCTCAGCGTGCCCGTGTGGGGCGAGTCCCTTCGGGTCTTGATGGAAAGCCTGCCTCGTTGGATGGGAGCTGGTTTGTGTGAGGGAGGGAAGTGTGTGCCTCCTCTGCCACCCCCCCGACCCACCTCATTCACCCCTCCTGGGCGTCTACCCAGGTTCCCGCGAGCGGTTTTCTCTTTTCTGGTGAGAAGGAGACCCGGGTTCTGTTATCGAACGCTGATCCAAGCTAGACCTCACGTGGGATGGCGGCTCGCTCAGGTCTTTTCTGAGGGTCCTCATCCGCTGGAGAGAGGGCTCCAGCGGTCTCGGATGATGCGGCGGGGCCTAGTCAGGGCTCTGCTTCTGCCAAGGCCCCCCGGATGGGTCATGCCCGCGAAGGCCACGGCGGGCGGGCGGGCGCCCGAGACCTCCAGCGGGCCTGGTTCTGCCCATTGGGCAGGGGCCCCATGTTCACTGGGGATTTAGGGTCATTTTGTACACTTGACTTCCGTTAACAGAATAAATAAGTCAGAAGGTCAGCATGTATTACTGTTTTTTGTTTGTTAAAAGGAAAACTAAATAGTTGTTTTAAAAAAAGACTGGAAGCGAATGTGACAAAGTTACACTTTTTAGGTCCAGGTGTCACGAGTGTGGACATTTGTTTGCACTTCTCTTTATATAATTCCACAGAGAAGAGAAGCGAATGCTTGCAACACGGAGGCGGTAGTGACTGGGAGGCCAAGGACGCACAGCCGCCGGAAGCAAAGGAGAGCCCACCTAACGCTGAGTGCGCACGGGAGGAGGGTAAGCCCACAGCAGGTGGGGATGGAGTGCGTTAGCCTCGTGGTCTCCAAGGAAGAGGCCGAGAGGAGGAGCGGCAGCGAGTAGAGAGGTCAGGTCAGAGGGCTGAGCAAGATCTCGGAGAGTGGCAATGGAAAAAATAGCACTTTTTTCCCCTCGGAGTCGTTTAACCACCATTCGTCTCTCTCTTTTGTAACAGCCATCCGTGTAGGGAATTTCTCTGCTGGTGGCACAAAAATAAACTTTTGGGTCCACTCTGAGTGGATTTTCGTGAACTTTGAAAGCAGGGATCCCGAATCACTGCTTTGTACTACTAAATAACCCAGTGGAACTGGAGGAGGAAAGCGCCCGCACAGCCTGGGCCTCCGGTTCACTGGGCGCGCGACTGTTCTGGGGCGATCCCGGGAGAACGCAGGTAGGGCGGGTAGCCAAGACACGCGGCCTGGGCGTGCGCACCAACTACCTTGGTCGGTCACCCTTTGAGGGAGCGGGGTTCCTGGCCATCTCATTTATGCTTCTCATTTCTCACTTCCCTACACTTTCTGAATATTTTGCAAATAAGTATATGTTGTTTTTAACATTTTTAACATTTCATAAAACGATAAAGAAAAGGCCCCCTCCCGCCCCCCCTCCTGCCCTTACCAGGCGCTTCATAGGAAGGAACTACCCAGGTTTCATTTCGTCTGTCGCATTTCGTCTGTCGCGGCTCGGGACCTAGTCCATCCCGCGTCCCCTACAAGCCCGGCTCCCGGTTATCTCCAGGAGCCCCCCGGCTCTCCCGGCTTCTGTACCCTGCCCTTGGGCCTGCAGACTTGCGCCTTATTTGGGCTCCCCTGGGAGAGGAGGAGTCCCCAAAGTGGAAGGATGCCCCTGCCTGCTGCCCGAGTAGCCTTAGCAATGAGGCGCTCGTTTGGATTCCAGGAGATCTCAGAGGGGCCAAGGGATACCGAGCTTTTATGCTGATCGAACTATCTACTGCTGAGAGTTAACAGTTGACGCGAAGACGGTCGAACAGGGATAGGTTGGGCGTGAGAGACTCGGAGATCCAGAGAACGCTTTCATTATACCAGAAAAAAAAGTTTACTTTCTCAGCGATTAAACGACTCCACCTAGAAGCATATCAAGGATTGAATCAGAGGTCACTTTAGCGGGTGGCTCGTTGGTCTAGGGGTATGATTCTCGCTTTGGGTGCGAGAGGTCCCGGGTTCAAATCCCGGACGAGCCCCATTTTTTCTTTTTTCATTTACCTTCTGATAATTTCTTGTTATGTGGACAGGTTTCGTCCTGGACGGGCAGTGGGCATCACCAAGAGTTCCGGGATGGGAAAGAAGTGCAGGTAGAAGAGTGGGTGAGCAGCTTGCCGGTGAGAGATTGGGTGCAGAGCCTTCTGTGGGCGTTTCCAATGATCTGGATC